TTTAGCCGGGCCCCTCCCCACTCTGTGTGCTCAGGACAGGGCTGAGGCGTGTCTTCTACTATAATGTATTCTTAATCTTTATTATAATATACAGGTCATGGATTTCACCATGTATTACACAATGTAACTGACATGAAACACTTGTTAATCTCACAAATTTCCTATCATCTGTGGGTATAGTAATTTTATAATACATATTCAGACAAATACTATATTTTTATGACATTATTTTACCTTGTCCCCATTTTCTGTGTAATGTTACTGGTTGGCTCTTCGGAATTGCCATTTATGTACATTATTCATTGTATCGGTTAACTGTGAATTATTCACCATTAAAATATAGGGTCCTGTGCTTTTGCATTTATTTGTTCACAATAAATATTCTGTAAATATGTGTAATGTAATGTTTTTTTTTCTTCAATTAGGAGACAGGCATATATTTTCAGCCAATTGGTTGTGTTTTGGCTTCATGATAGGAAAATACTTATGCAATGCTAACAGGTTTGTGCAACATGAATGTTTTGCTCATTGTTTGCAACTAGACTTTTCTGCAGTTAACTTGAATTACATGTAATCACCCATTCTTCGTTTAAAAATTCTATTTCTTTTGTTTTCCAAAAATTTGAAAGTCATGATTAGAAGTTTTATAATTCTATTCAATATAAGTATTACATTTGGTGTTTTATTAGGTATTTCAATAGAGACATCTATTTACCATCTGCAATTAATTGTAAACTTGTTTCTTTATATCTTTTAGGAATCTCTCCTAAATATCTCATCAAGCAGTTCTCACCAAAAGGGGACAGTAATATAAGAGAAATATTCCACACAGTGACATTGGAAAGATATGAAAGGCGTGATACCAAAGATTTTTGCTTCAGGGAAATGCAGAAAAGTACACATGTCTCTGAGTGTCAGTGGAGAGAAGATGAAAGACATTACAAAGGAGTGCATATCACCCGTAACCAATATCTCACTGGTGGAAGGGATCAATGTGGTGGAAGAGATGTGGGAAACAATCCTGTTAAAAACCAGCATGGATTAAGCTTTCAGTCAGATGTTCCTGAACTGCAGCTATTTCAAACTGAAGGAAAAATTTATGAATGTAATCCTGTTGAGATGTCTTTGAACAATGGTTCCTTAGTTTCACCACCCCAAATAAACCCTTCTAATGTCAAAAATGACATTTCTCATGAATATGAAAATGATTTTATGGATTCTTTAGTATTCAGACAAGAACAGAAAGCAACCATGAGGACAAAATGTTCCAAATATAATGAGCATGTAAAGGCCTTTAACCAAGGCTCAAACCATACTATGTATCAAATAATCCATACCGGAGAGAAACAATTTAAATGTGATATATGTGGTAAGGTCTTTAATAAAAAAGCAGTTCTAATCTGTCATAAAAGAATTCACACTGGAGAGAAACCTTACAAATGTAATGAATGTGGCAAGGTGTTCAGTCAGCAGTCAAACCTTGGAAGTCATCGGAGAATTCATACTGGAGAGAAACCTTACAAATGTAATGAATGTGGCAAGGTATTTAGTAAGGATTCACACCTTGCAAGTCATCGGAGAATTCATACAGGAGAGAAACCTTACAAATGTAATGAATGTGGCAAGGTGTTCAGTCAGAATTCACACTTTGTACGCCATCAGAGAATTCATACAGGAGAGAAACCTTACAAATGTAATGAATGTGGGAAGGTGTTCAGCCAACATTCAAACCTTGCAAGTCACTGGAGAATTCATACTGGAGAGAAACCATACAAATGTAATGACTGTGGCAAGGTGTTCAGTAAGGATTCATACCTTGCAAGTCATCGGAGAATTCATACCGGAGAGAAACCTTACAAATGTAATGATTGTGGCAAGGTGTTTAGTCAACATTCAAACCTTGCAAGTCATCGGAGGATTCACACTGGAGAGAAACCTTACAAATGTAATGAATGTGGCAAGACGTTCAGTCAACATTCACATCTTGCATGTCATCGGAGAATTCATACTGGAGAGAAACCTTACAAGTGTCATGATTGTGGCAAGGTATTCCGTCAACATTCATACCTTGGAAGTCATCGGAGAATTCATACTGGAGAGAAACCTTACAAGTGTCATGATTGTGGCAAGGTATTCCGTCAACATTCATACCTTGGAAGTCATCGGAGAATTCATACTGGAGAGAAACCTTATAAATGTAATCAGTGTGGCAAGGTGTTTAATCAACATTCATACCTTGCAAAGCATCGGAGAATTCATACTGGAGAGCCTTCTAACAAATGTAATATATGTGGTAAAGTGTTCAGTAAAAATGCAAGCCTTGTACAACATCTATTAATTCACACTGGAGAGAAACCTTACAAATGCAACGAGTGTGGCAAAGCTTTTCCTTTACATTCAAGGCTTACTAACCATCAGTTAATCCATAGTGGAGAGAAACCTTACAAATGTAATGAATGTGGCAAGGCGTTCAGTCAACATTCACATCTTGCATGTCATCGGAGAATTCATACTGGAGAGAAACCTTATAAATGTAATCAGTGTGGCAAGGTGTTTAATCAACATTCATACCTTGCAAAGCATCGGAGAATTCATACTGGAGAGCCTTCTAACAAATGTAATATATGTGGTAAAGTGTTCAGTAAAAATGCAAGCCTTGTACAACATCTATTAATTCACACTGGAGAGAAACCTTACAAATGCAACGAGTGTGGCAAAGCTTTTCCTTTACATTCAAGGCTTACTAACCATCAGTTAATCCATAGTGGAGAGAAACCTTACAAATGTAATGAATGTGGCAAGGGTTTCAGTTACAAGTCATCCCTAGCAAATCACTGGAAAATTCATACTGGAGAAAAACCTCACAAGTGTAATGTATGTGGCAAAGCCTTTAGTCTGCAGTCAACACTTATTAAGCATCAGGTAATCCATACTGGAGAGAAACCTTACAAATGTAATGAATGTGGCAAGGCCTTTAATCAACGCTCACACCTTACTGTACATCAAATAATCTGTAGTGGAGAGAAACGATTTAAATGTGATATATGTGGGAAGATCTTCAATAAAAAAGCAGTTCTTGTATGTCATCTGAGAATTCACACTGGAGAGAAACCTTCCAAATGTAATGAATGTGGCAAGTTCTTCAAACATAATTCACACCTTGCACGACATCAGAGAATTCATTCTGGAGAGAAACCTTACAAATGTAATGAATGTGGCAAGGCCTTTAATCAATGCTCACAACTTACTGTGCACCAAATAATCTGTAGTGGGGAGAAACAATTTAAATGTGACACATGTGGGAAGGTCTTCAATAAAAAAGCAGTTCTTGTATGTCATCTGAGAATTCACACTGGAGAGAAACCTTCCAAATGTAATGAATGTGGCAAGTTCTTCAAACATAATTCACACCTTGCACGACATCAGAGAATTCATTCTGGAGAGAAACCTTACAAA